CGTCTGTTGGTGGACACTTAGGTTGCTTCCATATCTTTGCTATTGTAAACAATGCTGCAGTTAACATAAGTATGCATATGTCTTTTCAAATTAGTGTTTTGGGTTTCTTCCAATAAATATCCAGAAGTGGAATTTCTGGATCCTTCCTTGTCTCTTATTATAGCCTTTGTTTTGAAGTCTATTTTGTCTGATATAAATATTGCTACCCCAGCTTTTTTTTCTATTTCCATTTGCACAGAATATATTTTTCCATCCCTTTTACTTTCAGTCTGTGTCTTTCAATGTGAAATGGATCTCTTGTATGCAGCATGTGTATGGGTCTTGTTTTCTTATGCATTCAGCCACCCTATGTCTTTTGATTGGAACATATAATCCATTTACATTTAAAGTAATTGTTTATAGGTATGTAGTTATTGCCATTTTATTTACTTTTTTTGTTTGTTTTAATCCTCACCTGAGGACATTTTTTTTTTTGCATTTATCTTCAGATAGAGCAGGAAGGAGAAAGGGAGGGAAAGAGAGAGAGAAACGATGTGAGAGAGACACATTGACTGGTTGCCACCCACACAACCCCAACCGGGGCTGGGGCCAAACTACAAACTACAAAGGTACGTGCCCTTAGTGGGAACCAAACCCGGTCTCTCTGGTCCGTGGGCCAATGCTCCAACCGCTGAGCCAAACTGGCCAGGGCGAACCAGAGAATCTTGAAAAAAGCAGTTTGTTACCTACAAAGGAGCTCCCATAAGACTATCAGCTGATTTCTCAAAAGAAGCTTTGCAGGCCAGAAAGGAGTGACAAGAGATATTCAAGGTGATGAAAAGCAAGGACCTACAACCAAGATTACTCTATCCTGCAAAGCTATCATTTAGAATCGATGGCCAAATCAAGAGTTTCCCATACAAGAAAAAACTAAAGGAGTTCATCACCACCAAACCAGTATTATATGAAATGTTCAAGGGTCTTTTTGAAGGAGACGAAGAACAAAAATATGAACAATAAAATGGCAATCAATGCATATCTATCAACCATTGAATCTACAAACAAAATGAGCAAGCAGAACAGAAACAGACTCCTAGATACATAAAACTTTTGTTGATTGCTAGATGGGTGGGGGCTGGAGGTATGGGTGAAAAAGATGAAGTAATTAAGAAGTACAAATTGTTTGTTAGACTGATGAACCTTAAAGGGAAGGGTGGAGGGAGGGCAGGAAGAGATAAACCAAAGAACTTTTATGCATATATGCCTAACCAATGGACACCAACAATAGTGTGGGGAAGTCAGAAGGGGGGCAGGATTGGGGAGGAGGGGGTCAGTGGGGGGGGGGGGAAATACTTTCAACAATAAAGATAAGTTAAAAAAATAAAGGTGTACTCTGGTGGCAGCATATGGGGTTGGGAGGAGGGAGCAGGACTGTTGAGAAAGAAAAGAGATTCCTGCCTTAACCAGGCTTTCAATGTGATAGGGAAGATAGGTACCTGGGAGACAACAGGGTCGGAGGAAAGGCTTCTAGCCATGGGGATTCGGAGGGATTGAGATCATCAGAGTCAAAATCATAGACTGGCATAGCTGCAGAGGACCTTAGAGGTGATTTAAGCCAGCCTCCCTGAGACCAGAGAGAAGCACCCAGTCCAAAGACTCAGCTGTGTAGCTTATCTAATGATATGAATAATGACTAATGCTTATTGAACACTTAAACTATCTGCCAGGCCCTATTCTCAACATTTTTTTTCCTTTATTGATTTTAGAGAGAAAAGAAGAGAGAGGGAGAGAGAGATAGAAACACTGATGAGAAAGAACATCGATTGGCCGCCTCCTGCATGCCCCCGACTGGGGATTTGGCCCACAACATGGGCATGTGCCCTGACTGGGAATTGAACCAGTAACCTCTTGGTGCATGGGTAGCTGTTCAATCACTGAGCCACACCCACTGGGCCCAGTTCTCAACATTTTTAAGATCTTTTGTTTACTGCTCAGAACAACCACCTGGCATAGGAACTATTATCACTGTTTTATATTCAAGGAAACTGAGGTGGAAAGAGTTAAATAAATTGCCAAGGTTGTGCAGTTCGTAAATTGAGAAGAATTCAAACCCAGAATTCAAATTCAGTTTTGCTTAAGGCAGAGGGAGAATGAGCAGAGGAGCTTTGACTGCAGATCATGACCATCCACTGTGTTGACTTTTCCAGGTTGAGGGCAAGAACTCCATTATCCTGACCTTCAGACAGCTGATGGCAGAAGAGGGGCCTTGGGGCCTCATGAAGGGCCTTTCAGCCAGAATCATCTCAGCCACGCCCTCTACCATTGTCATTGTGGTGGGCTATGAGAGCCTCAAGAAACTCAGCCTCCGACCTGAGCTGGTGGACTCCAGACACTGGTAACCAGTGGTGGGAGAGAAGCCTGCTGTTTCCCACACTACTCTCGGTCAGGGGCAGAATAGGGAGGATAGCACCCTCTCCAAGTGCCCCTACCACATACCTAGTCCTGCCTGGGCCAGGTGCCTGGTCTGGGACAGGAACAGAGACTTTAAACTGTTCTGGCTGAAGAGGCTCCAGACCGGCATCCCCTGCCTCCATTATTTTTAGTTTTCTTGAAAAACTGGGCTCCCTCACTCAGACCCTGTACTCAGTCCTGCCCTAAGGAAACCCACTTTTCCCACTAGTCCCACTCTACCTCTCCCCTGCTAACCCTTTTGTTTTCCCTTTTCATCTGTGTCCCTGAGATCCTGATAAGAGCTGTACATAGAGCTTGCTTATTTACTACCACTGGTTCTTCCACTTAGGCCTTTAGCCCAGATTGCTAGCAGCTGCCATTGGCCCTTTCCTGCTTCATCTCTTAGGCTTGCTTATTTTTATTTTGGGACTGATTTGCCCACCAAACTACTCTGCTTTTTCCTGCCACTGGGGGCAAGATGCCAGGCACTTTTGCACAGGGAGTAGGAACAGCAAAAACTAAAGAGCACTCATCCTCTCTTTGGAGTTATTAGGTTGGGGAGAACTGTTAATACTTTATTTTGTGTGTTTATATTTTTTTAACATCTGTGAACTAGGGTACTGTCTTTGTCCTGCTAGAGCACCAATCCAATCCTGCAGTCAGAGCCCACCTCTTCCTCAGAAAAATGTAATGTAGCTTTTCCCTTAATCTCAGTTCCCTATCCCTTCCATATCCCTTCAGTCCCTGCAGCCCCAGGACATATAAGCTATTGGCTTCCCCTGGCCCAGATGACTACAGTGGTAGGCACAGTTCTAAGTAGATCAGGCTGTCTGGGATACACGGCACTTGAAGCACTACTCTGAAAAGTCAGATTGAGAGAGTAGCTGGTTTGGAAAGTAACAAGAGGGTATGTGCGCTCCAGCCCATCTCCCCAGACCAGCTGAGCCAAGCCTAGGAGAGGGCAGTGGAGGTTCTCAGCCCCCGGTAGTTATAACACACATATACCCCAATCACTTGGACTCATGGAAACGGATATTGTCTCACAGTGGAAATCTGAAACGTGGAGCTGTTTGTGTTTTCTTCTCCCCAATGTGAAGTCATCCCAGGCATGGTAACCTCTAGAGGGATGATTGGAAGAGTAAAGAGCAGGTCAGGAAGTCACCCAATACCAGGACCACTGCATACCAGCCTGATACTGCCAAGATTATCTGTTGATGCTCTCAGGAGCTACATGATGAGCACTCCTTCCTTGCCTCATCCTCCCTACATTGTCTACCAAGCCTGTGTTGCAGGTGAAGAGAGGGTGCAGCAAACACAATGAGAAGAAGGCATATCAAACTTTGCACTTCTACTGGAGACATTTGGCCAGGATGATCCTTCAAACCTTCTTATTGGTCCCACCCCCTGGGAAGGGCCATGGTGCCAATTTGAAAGGTGCTAGCTACCTTCTGAAGCCTTGCTGTTTCTTATGACTGCCCCACATTCATCACTCTGGCCAGATCAGAATCTGAAAACTACTTTTTTCTACCTTCACCACCACCACTGCCCATTTTAGTCGTTTATCTTTGAGGGTTATTTTCCCTTTAACTTATCTTTAGTTTGGTTTGCCTTTTCTTGCATTTTGTCAAGGGTCCTTCAGTTTTACCCACAAATTGTCATCCAAAGGGTGGGGGCCCACAGATCATTCTGAATCTTCCTGCCCTTCTGCCACCCCTTTACCTTAAGAAGCACCAACATAATAGAAGCCAGCATTCTTTAAATTCATTTTAGTGACACCTTTGGAGATTGTTTTCCAGCCCCACACCTTCCCCTCCCTAGAAACTTGTCCCCACTATGGCATAGTGGGTAAAGTATCATGTACAGGAGGTAGTCTCCTGCCTCTCATGCCTTAGAATGTGTCTCCTTCCCAGACACCTCTCCTTCTGATTTATTTTCTTATACAGTATTTCATAGCCATGCACCCATTTTCTTTGTGTCTCTCACACACACGCACATACACACACACACACTCACAGGAGTTTCAAAGGATGATGATATATATATATATATATAAACCCCTGGTCCCTACTTTCCCATCTAATTGGGTTTGATTAAAACGTGTCTTGGTGGGAACGGGACAGCGGGCTTCCGTTTTCCCAGGACCACAGACTGGACCAGCTGGAAGTTTTGATGGACTGGGCCATAGCCAAAACTGGAAGAAACTTGGGAGACCAGGCAAGACAGGAAACCTGGTTGGGAGTATTGAACAGGGGAGTGAAAATACAGTTGCAGTTAACATTTGATGAAGAGGACTCTTGTGAATATTAACTGAGAACATGCATCACTGTTGCACTGTACGAAGTCTGTGAAGTGTAATTAAAAGTTTGTATTGAGCCCCAGAGCTTTGGCTGGCGCTTATTTTGCCGGCTTGCAGAGCAAGTAATCAAGTGCACTACAGCGCTGCTATCAGTGCACAACCCTCAGCCTCCGGCAGTTTCCCCTCCCCCGTCGGCTCGGTGATAGACATTCCGCTGCTTCCAATCGGAGGCGGCCGATGGGGATTTGGTAGGCGGGGCATCCGGCCAGTGAGATTTGGCGGTTCGATTTTAATATGGCCGAAGCAAGTAACGCCGACGTTGGCAGCGGCTGTGAGGAAAAAGGGCCCGAGGGGTTGTCCCCCGAATCCGTGCCCCACGGCACTACCATTTCCAGGATGAAGCTCCTCGACACCACAGTGGATACTTTTCTCCAGAAGCTGGTTGCCGCTGGGAGGTAAGGTGGAGGAAGTGAGGCCGAGGTCAAACCTCGCAGTAGGGTGAGGCAGAGGAGCGAGTTTGGTCCGCCAGTGTCAGTCCCGTGAGACCTGGATGGTAAAACGGCGGCAGGTCAGTCAGGTGAGCCCCGAGCGCGCGGGTCGACTGCCTCCAGTCTGCACGCACGGTGGCTGCCGCGGGGGGCGCCGCCGCCGGTGACCGAGCCGGCCTGGAACGCTCGATGCCGTGTCCTCCGGCCGGCCAGCCTGGACCCGAACCTCAGGTGGCTGAGGAAAGACACGGGCTTTGAAATCGGACCAGCGTCCAAATCATGGCCCAGCATGAAGTGAGCAAGACTTAACCGCCCTGTGCCTCCGTCCCTCATCAGTAACATGGCAACAATTGGACCCTTCTCAGAGGGCCGCTTTGAGAATTAACCGAGTAGATACAGGGAAGGCGCTCAGTGCCTGCCACATAGGAAGCATTGGAATTTTAGTTATTATGGGAATAATACCTTCTGTGTGTGTGTGTGTGGACTGTTACCATAGAAACACTTTTCCTGCCTCGATTTTTATTTTATATGAACAGTATTGGACACTCTAAAGGAAGACTTGCCCATGACCCCACCACCCAAGCATGTTAATGCTGAAACATTGTTATCAGAACTTAACGCGGCTTGACCAAAGCCTGTTCAACATCCAGAGCTGTCTGTCCCCACACCTGTTCTTTGACCTCATCGAGACTCCCATCCTCACTCTGACCGGTGTGACTCAGTTGGTTGGGCTTAGTCCCTTGCACTGAAGGTTTGCCAGTTGGATTCCTGGTCAGGGCACACGCCCAGGTTGTGGGCTTGATTTCCCTTAGGGGGCATGCAGGAGGCAGTCGATGAAGGGTTCTCTCCCTCCCTCTTATTTATTATTTTTTTATCCGTACCTGAGGACATTTTTGCATTTGTCTTCAGATAGAGCGGGAGGGAGAGGGAGGAAGAGAGAGAGAGAAACATTGATATGAGAGAGGCACATTGAGTGGTTGCCACCCACATGACCCCAACCACAAACTGAACCTGGGCCTCTGGTCCGCTGGCTGATGCTCTAGCCACCGAGCCAAACTGGCCAGGGCAACGTCAACACCTTTATTTATTTATTTATTTATTATTTTAATTTTTTATCCTCATCCGAGGACATTTCTGCTCAGATAGAGTGGGAGGGAGAGAAAGGAAGAGAGAGAGAGAAACATCAACATGAAAGGGACACATCAAGTGGCTGCCACCCGCACAACCCAACCAGGGCCGGGACGAACTGCAACCAAGGTACGTGCCCTTAGTGGAAACCGAACCCGGGTCTCTCTGGACCGCGGGCCGATGCTCTAACCACTGAGCATACTGGCCAGGACTCAACACCATTTTTTAAAATGATCTGTGTCCTGTAAGTGCATATGTTTCAGAGCTTTTCAGTACTGCTTGTCATTCCATGGTAAGCATCCAGCTTTTACCTATTGCGTCTCGTGGACACCTCCTTGCCTCCAGCTTCCTACCTCCACATATTATGCTAGGATAAATGTCATGGAGTAGTGCTAGAATTTCTGAGGTCTGTAATGGAGAGGGATCACTGATCTAAGGGTTTACACCTACCTATGTTTTGTCAGATTGCTTTCCATAAAAGCTGTTCCTATCTCCTACATCCTCACCATCACTGGGTATTGTTTTTTATGAAAGTTCTTTAGAGAACTCATGCATTCGCTATTAGGTTACTGCCTGTTACATTTGTTTGTTTGTTTCTTTTCTTTTTTTTTTTTATCCTCACTTGAGGACATTTTTCCATTTTTTTGTTCAGATACAGTGGGAGGGAGAGAGAGACATCGACGTGAAAGGGACACATCGAGTGGCTACCACCTGCACAACCCAACCAGGGCCGGGGACAAACTGCAATCGAGGTACATGCCCCTAGTAGGAACCAAACCTGGGTCTCTGGACCGCAGGCCCATGCTCTAACCGCTGAGCCAAACCGGCTAGGGTTGTTTGTTTATTCTTTTGATCCTCAACCTAGGATATTTTTCCATTGATTTTTAGATAGATTGGAAGGAAGGGAGGAAGAGAGAAAGAGAAAAATCTATGTGAGAGAGACATATCAATTGGCTGCCTCCCACATGATCCCAACCGGGGCCAGGATTGAACCTGCAACCCAGGCAGGTGCCTTTAAGTGGGTATTGAACTCACAACCCTTGGGTCTGTGGGCCGACACTCTAACCACTGAGCCAGACTGGCCAAGGGACTGCCTAATACTTTATAGTTTTGTTACTATTGTGAATACTCTCTTATTTTCTATGTTCTTTTAAAATTAATTACCGATGGCTCAGAGAAATTGCTGATTTTTGTAAGATTTTTATTTTTTATCCTCACCTGAGGACATTTTTCCATTTTTTTGTTCAGATAGAGAGGGAGGGAGAGAGAGGAAGAGAGAGAGAGAGAAACATTGACGTGAAAGGGACACATCGAATGGCTGCCACCAGCATGACCAACCAGGGCCGGGGAAAAACTGCAACCGAGGTATGTGCCCTTAGTGGAAACCGAACCCAGGACTCTGGTCCGCAGGCCAGTGTTCTAACAGCTGAGCCAAACTGGCCAGGGCTGAATTAAACATTTTTAAAAGGTAAATTTTTTTTTTTAAATATACATATATATATATATATTTTTTTATCCTCACCCGAGGACATTTTTCAATTTTTTGTTCAGATAGAGTGGGAAGGAGAGAGAGAGAAACTTCGATGTGAAAGGGATACAACGAGTGGTTGCCACCCACTGGACCAACCAGGGCCGGGGACAAACTGCAACTGCGCCCTTAGCAGGAACTGAACCCAGGTCTCTCTGGACTGCACGCCGATGCTCTAACCGCTGAGCCAAACTGGCCAGGATGCCATTTTATTTTTTTACGTCTAAAGCATTTTGTCTGTCCTTGAAAAGCTTGTCAGCCAAAAGTTCTGTGCCTGAGGTGCTAACTGCATGGTGGGGACTGCAGAGGTCCAAGTAAGAGACATGGTGCAGCTGAGAGATATGAATGTATGTGAGCTGATTGGAGGTAGAATGGATTGGAGGGGAAGATGAGAGAAAGGGGAACTCCAGAAAAATGCCAACTCTTCATAATGGTTATTGGGTAGAAAGTGGTGCCATCTACTGAGATGGGGAAGAAATGCTGCCCACTGAGAGTTTGGGGAGAGAAACAGGTCTGGGGTTAGAAATCAAGACATCTGTTTAACAGGTTCCGTTGGAGATGCCAGGCAGCCACACTTAGTTTTTCAGCTCCTTGGCTCCCTCCTTCCAATGCATCAACTGGCAAAACCCCAAGTTCAGTGCTCTGTCTGCACTCCTCTGTCCCTATATCCAGCTTGCTGAGCAGCACTGTAGGGTCTCACCCATGATGGGAAATGGTGCTTCCACAAAGTCATTGTCTTGGGCTTCAGCTGGGCCCTCAGTGAGCCAAGAGCCTCATCCCCTGAGCCACTTCTATTTCCCTGCCGCCTGTACCCTCTCAGTGAAAATGACTCCAACAGCTAGTTAATAGAGAAACACCTGCAGGAGTTTCTAAATCTGTAATTTTGGATGAGAGATGCCCAATCCTGAGTCCACCTTGCTACCTTGCCATCAGTTTCCTATGGCTTGTGGTTTCTACATTCCAAGTCTCTAGTTCCCCATCTCCAGTTTGTTTGTTTTTTGCCCCCTCGGCTTACAGCAGTTTGCCACCATTCCCTTAAACTGTTCCTTTACAGATTATTAATAACTCTCTATTGCTAAAACTGTGAATACTTTTTCAGCTTTATCCTACTTGCTCTCTTTGTAGCATTTGACACTGTTAACCACTTCTCTGTCCTTGAAATTTCTCCCTTGACTTCCAACACCATTCTCTGCCCCTTTGCCTCACTAGCAGCTCCTTCCTGGGCTCCTCTTGCTCTACTTGTTCCTTAAATGTGTGAACATTGTCCTCATTTCACCTCCATATGTAAATGACCACATCCCATTTGATATCTTGCTGCTGCTGAAAAGCACTTCAGTGGCTGTTCAGTGCCCCTTACCGTGGCCTCCAAGGCGCCACGTGCTCTAGCCCCCGCCTGTCTTATGCCCCACAGTACTCAGTCATACTGACCTCCTCATTTCCTAGAATGTCAAGAGCTTTCCTGCCTCAGGGCATTTGCACTTGATGTTTGCTCCTCCACGATGGTTTTCCTTTATTTCTTCCCTGGCCTCTCTAAAGCCATCTTTCTCCCCTGATTATTCCCTCTTGACACCTTATTTTATTTTTTCATAGTACTTACCACAGTTTAATACAGTTCTATTGTCTGCCTGTTTACTTGTTGGTGAGCTATCTTCCCAGCATAAAATGTACGGTCCTTGAGGACAGGATTTTGTCTGTCTTGTTCACCATTCTACTCATTGCTTATCATGGTGCCTGACACAAAGGAGACACTCAATAAACAGTTTTAGAAGAAGTGAAGATTCCCAAGCCACATCTCTCTCCTGAGCTCCAGACCTCTATCTCCAGTAGTTTATTACTGGAAATCTCCATATGGTGTCTTACAGAACTATCAAATTCAGCGTGGCAGAAGCAGGATTTCTCCTCCCTCTGTGGTCCCTAACTTAGTTGAAAATACCACTGTCTACCCATTCTCAAGGCCAGAGATTTGGGAGTCCTCATTGACCCCTCCTTCCCTCTCCCTTCCAATCAACCACCAAGTCCTATTCGTTCCAACCTCTCTCCTCAATCTCCTCTTTTCAATCCTTGTGCCAGTACTTGATTTTACACCTTCATTGTTTCTCACTGGATTGTTGCACCAGCCTTCAGACAGGCCTTCCAGCCTTAGTCTTGCCCCATCCCTCTAGTCTATAGCTCAGATTTGAGCAGGTCCTTTGGCTTAATATGTTTAGTTGGTTCAGGGTTGCCTCCAGAATCAAATGTAAGCTCCTTAGTTCAGCATACAAGTCCATTCACTCCTTGGCCCCTCCCTATCTCTCCAGCTATGTCAAGGCCA